AATGACATTCCTCAATAATAAAAGCTCAGTTGTTCAGTAAGTATTTGTTAAGGGCCAGATACATCTCAAGTCAGTTATATACATATTATCAAGAGTTTAAAAATCAGTGAGACATGCATGGTAACAGGTAATTAAATTGCAGTATGATACTTAGAACAAAAGATAAATAAAAGCAAATATTAAAGAAGGCATTCTGGATATAGGTGATAACTTGCATAGTTATGGGTATCAGAATCCATGTTTGTGAATAGGCCAATTTATTTACAACACTGAATGAATATAAGCAAGAAATGGCACCTGAAATTTGTGTGGATTGAATGGGTATATGTATAGCAGCTTCTCTGTGTCAAGGCATAAATAACCTTATGACTGCATTTCAGAGATTTTTCTACAAAACCAGTTAGTCTTTGTCCTCACGTTTAAAAAGTCTGCACTTATTAGGATCAATAATAATTGAGACCCAGTTGTAGAGAAGTTTGGAGAAGGGAGATAATGAGCTCCAGTTGAGACATGTTGAGTGCTTTGGAGACAATGACGTCCACATGTCAAGTTGGCAGTTGAATTTGAAGGCCTAGAAATCAGCAGGGATGACTGTGCTGGAATGCAAATTTGGGACTGTGTCAATTGGAAAAATACCCATGTTGTTCTGTATTGTGAAGATTTGGTGGCACATTAAATGACATGACATTGCTCTGGATGATTATAAAACAGACATTGTAATCATGAGTAATAATGAGCTGTTTTTTCCTACATCGTATCTCTGCTGTTGACTCTTGAAATATTATATGAGGGACACCTGGGTGGCTCAGTTGGTTAAGTGTCTGCCTTTGGCTCAGGTCATGATCTTGGGATCCTGGAATTGAGCCCTTGTCGGGCTCCCTGCTCAGTGGGGAGTCTGCTTCTCTCTCTCTCTCCCTCTGCCCCTCCTCTTCAGTCCCTCTCCCCGCTTATGCTTGCTCTCAGTCTCTCAAATAAATAAGTAAAATCTTAAAATATATATATATATAATTTGAAATGTAACTGTAGAAAGAAATCAATGCCTTGACCAACGTTTCTAAGAGATGCACCATGTTTGATGTATATCCATTTGCCATCCCTCCTCTCTCCTTCATTTCAACCTTTGATTTGTCCCAAATTATTTATTGAAGTGAGAAAGGGTGTAGATTCTTAATGTAGGGATTGGGTACAGAAGTATGTACTCTAATCCTATGGTAATTTCTTGTTTGTTTTTTTATGACTGAAAGAGAACATCTATGGATAGGTTTTATTGACTTCTATAGTAATTGCCAATTCTGTATTGCCTTTATTATCCATTACAGAAACAGAAAACGAACACAGGGAGAAATTGTTTGTATTGAATAATTATTAGGCTTAAAACTCACTCTTGAAGGAATTTTCTTAACTCTACCTGAGTTTAGAATGGACTACAATTGGATAAATCTGGCTTCTGGGTAGAGTGATCTTAAAAGCTTTTTTTTAAAAATCAAGTTTGATAATGTTCATTTTAAGAAGTCTGAGGATGAAAACATGGGTCCCCCCCACCCCCACCCCCACTGGAGATTCTTGGTATTTATTCCTTATTGCTGCCTTGTGTGCTTATGTTGCTGTTAGTTGATTTTTTTTAGTTTTTCATCTTTTTCTATTTTGGTGAGAACCCAATGGGCCCTTTTCATTTGGAAGCTCTTATCCTTCAGTTTCATTTTAAAAGTATGTATTACGTTGATTTTTCTCCCTTCTTCCTTTTTCTCTTTCTTGGTAAGACATCTGTCATTTAGTTTCTGGGCCTTTTGAACTACTCCTCTAATTTTTATACTGTTCTTTACCATTTTCCCCCTGTGTCTTTGCTGCTACTTGGAGGGAGAGTTTCTAAATTTTTATCTTCCAATATCTCTATCAAGTTTTCATTTTTGCTATCATATTTTTAGTTTCTCAAGTTCCCTTTTAGGTCTTGAATTTTCTTAACAGCATCCTTTATCTGTTTCAAGGATAGTGTCTTCTCTTAACTCTCTGCAGGGTTTCAAATTTTTCTTCTTTCTGGTCAGTGGTTGCTTTCTTGAGGTTGTTTTCTGTTTGTTTGTTGGGCTGGTCAGACTCCCAGAGAAAGATCTTCCAGTCTCCCTTCCCTAGTGTGTGGGCTGACTCACTGCCCTCACTCTAGATAAGGAGTGGGGTAGAAGGCTGGACACCTCAGCCTTCAGTATGTAAGTGATCCCATGAACTGCCCCTCAAAACCCAGTTCTCGGGGCACCGGCTGGCTCAGTCAGTTAAGTGTCTGCCTTCAGCTCAGGTCACAATCCCAGGGTCCTGGGATTGAGTCCTGCCATCAGGCTCCCTGCTCAGCAGGGAGTCCTTTTTCCCTCTACCTCCTACCCCCTGCTCATGCTCATGCTCTGTCTGTCACTCTCTTTCAAATAAATAAATAAAATCTTAAAAAAAAACAAAAACTAGTTCTATAAAATGAACTCTTTAGGAATATATTTCTTATCTTTTGCTGGGAATTACAGAATGCCAGCTATCTGGGGAGAAATGCTTGCCATTTCCTCAGTTTTTTCCCTGGGGGATGGGATGGGGTGGCATGGGGGGGTGGTCTACAGCAGAAATTGGTCCCTTTTCACCTGGGGTTAGCTAAATCCCTGACTGCTTAGCTCATGTGTTTTGTGGTTTCTAAATTGTTTTCTTTCCCATTTTCTTCTTCCTTATGAGTTTTGTACATTTTAAACTCTATTCTAGAATTTTAGGAGGGAGTAAAAGTACATGATTACAATAACTTCACCATCTTTATCTTTGTCTACAAATTTTTGTTCTTTTTTAAGTGTTTTAAAAACTAAGCAAAACCCTTTATTTTGAAGCAAACATTAGGAGAGGTATAACTTTCTTTTCAGTTTTTAACTGGCACTTCGGTTATTGAATTAATTAAGAGTATACATTTACCAAGGTGTTTTACAACTTAAAAATTTATTCAATAAATTCAGTAAAGCACAATGTCGAATTACACTTTAACTTTATTCTCTGTTCCTGTGATGCAAATAATATCTCTTTCTTTTCAAATCCTTTGGCAAATTTTTGTCTTTCCATATATAAAAGTTTCTGTGTTAAGTCACTTATGATTTTAGTTTTTATTTTTACACCTTCCTAAATATTTTGGATTATAAATGTCCCTCAGTTATCATTGTATTAGTATCTATATTAGTATCTGTATTTGTGTCTCACGTATATGTGTGTGAGCATGCACATGCACATGTACACTTAACACACAGACACACTAGCTTTTAGTTTCTACTTATTATAACAATTCTAGGTTAGTTTGATTGGTTTTTCTTCTCATTTATGTTGTATTTTCCTGCTTCTTTGCATGCCTGTTCATTTCTGATTAGATGCCAAATAGTGTGACTTACCTATTTGGGTGCATGTCTCCTATTCCTGTAAGTATTCTTGGGCTTTGTTCTGGGACACAGTTTAAGTTAGAAACACTTTTCATCCTTTTAGGTCTTGCTTTTAAGATTCACTTAGGCAGTACCGGAATAGTGCTCAGACCAGGTTTAATTATTTCCCATTACTGAGGCAAGCCCTTTTATTTACTTTACCCAGTATCTGTGAATCATAAAGTCTTTTCATTCTGGCTCTCTGTGAGAACCCAGCACTTTTACCGAGTCCTGTGGCTGGTACTTTCTCTAGCCTCTGGTATTTCCTCTTTTACACATGCACTGACTAGGGTTCAGCTGAGTGTTTGAGTGGACCTTGTGCAGATCTCCAGGATTCTTTCAGTATAGCTCTTCCTAGAACTCTTGTCTGAACTCTAGCTGTGTTGGTCTACCTGGATTTTTAGCTCAGTCACCTCAGCCCAGAGAGGCAGTCTGGCACCCTTCCCGGGGCTGCAGCCTGGAGACTCCCAAGCCGGAGAACTGAAGTAATCCTGGGCTTTACTTCATTGACTGGCCATCTCTCAGGCTCACTATCTTCATTACCTGATGGTCAGAGTCTTGAGAACTGTCATTTCTTGTGTTTTGCCCGTTTGTGGTTTTGTTTTTTTGTTTTGTTTTGTTTTTTGGTTGTTTCAGGCAGGATAGTGAATCTTGTCCATGTTATTTTTATCTTGGCTGGAAGCAGAAGTCCCTTACTCATGAATATAGACACACTTTTTTAGGTTTACCAAAAAATACGAGTCATTTTATTAGATCTATCTACCCAAAAAATGATAAATAAAAAAATACGAATTCTGGTGAAAAAATATCGTTAACATTTTTCAACATAAAAATTAAAATCTGTATTTAAAAATTGATTTTCCTTGCCACAGTAGAGGTATGTGTGTATACATTTTATGTTCTTTGGCATACAGAGAACCCTGAGGTTCTCAATTTTTTAACTCATTGATACCCTAGTTACTCATTTTTTCATGGTGTCTGTCCCCTAGGCAAAAGAAAATACTTAATAGGTTTTTTTAATTAAATAGTCACTTCCAAACAACCTCATTAGTATTTATATCAAAACAACTTAAAGTGAAAAAAAAATTTTGTTCATAAATTTTAATTTTTATTCACATCATTTATTAATGGGATCTCTATTTTTCTTGGGTACCATTCAGATTAGCAAACATTAGGATGCATTTTCATAGTAATGATATTAACAGAAAATACAGGCAGAAACATATACTTCATTATAGAATATATTTCCATCCTTAAAAGGCTAAGGTCCATGTATTTTCCTTAGCATGAGCTCTGCAAACATGTAAGTTGTAGTAGAGAGCTGTTTTTTTGTTAGTTCTATTAATTTATGCCAGTTTTTTATCTCCTTTGATTGGAATCTCACAATTTTTTTAAAAATTTTATTTAAATCCAGTTAATTAACATACAGTGTATTATTACCTTCAGAGGTAGAGTTCAGGGATTCATCATAGCTAAATGATGCAAACATAGCTTAAATAATTGGCAACAGGTTAGTATTAAGAAAGATAAACTCTCTTTGAGAAGAAAAATTGGTAATGTGTTTTGCAAATTTTTTAGGAGGAGCAGAACAGAGGCAAGCCTAATTGGGAGCATCTCAATGAAGATTTACATGTACTGATCACTGTGGAAGATGCTCAAAACAGAGCAGAGATCAAACTGAAGAGAGCCGTTGAGGAAGTGAAGAAATTACTGGTACCTGCAGTAAGTAATAATTTCCAAATCTTTGATTTGGGACCCAACCCCTTTTTCCATTTAATTTTTAAAAAATTACTGTAATGTTGATGTTAATAAAGAATAGGTTCTTTATTTTTTTAGAAATTTTACTTAACCTCAAAACTATTTATAATTTATAACTCATTTACTGTAGTATAATGGGCAAACACAGACATTGCTCAAATCCTAAAATGGGAAAGCCTGTTTACTTTGGGGGAAGGAAATGTTGTGAGGGGAGCAAACTCAATTGGTGTCCTACTTTTCAAAGGTATTATTATTATTGCATCACTCTTACTATAGGGTAAGAAAGTAGGTACGTTATCGTTAGGGTGATGAAAGCTTTATTGTTTTGAGGGGGGAGCAAATTCTCATTGTAAGCAGGTAATGAGTGTACAGAAAAGTCTGTACAACTAATATTTATGTTGGAGGACCTGTGTTAGTAGGAGCACATTGTTTGAGTTGCCTGTGGGTTCCAAGTACCCTCCTGGCATGTCACTGTTTCACACAGAAAGATTTCTGTTCCATAGTGAAATTTTCCCATAATATGATAAAATTTTCTTTTAGAAAAATAGGAGCTAACTTTTGCTGATCTATCAGGCACCATTCTGAGTACTTTTTCACACTTCATCTCATTTAATGTTTTTTTCTAAGATACTGAAAACTATTTAAGTTCATATTTAGGGATCTTAGGTAAAACATTGAAAGTAATTTTGGAGGGTGAAGTCTCATAAAGAAGTGACCCCAAACACCTTTGTTCTCATCCTCCCTCCCTTCCATCCTCCGTCTCTCCCTCCCTCCCCAGCCCCCTTCTTTTTGTCTTTTCCTCATTATTAAACAGCCCTTTAGTAACTCCTCATTTAGAGATGATGATTGCACTCACTCCCAGAGTATTATTTTGAAAATGAAAAATAAATTACTGCTATTTTCAAAGTCATTCTAAAAATATTTTTTATGTTTGTAAAAATGATAGAAATGTGGATCCTAATTTGCTGTTGAAAAAACTATGAATACTGTTAATATTCTGTCAAATAAAAATTTATTGACATTTACATAAATGAGTATGGTATCTATTGTTCTTTATTCCCCAGATAATCTGTTCTATAAATAAACTTACAAGCTATAAACATTTTTCATTTAGTGGACAAAATTACTTGGAAGGAAAGAATTTCACATAACTTTTGTTCAGTAGATCTTATGAACAGGTTAAATTATAAACTAAAATATATAGTTGTATACTATTAAACCATATAGTCTTCCTCCTTTTCCTTAATAATTGTGCAGTTTTGAAAAGCTGTAAAGAAAAGGGCTTTTTTCTAAGTATATTGGACTATTAGTCCCATGATCAGAAAGTTATTTAACATCACTTTTATTGCTGTATATAACTGAAAATGCTCAGCTCACATAATACTAAGTACATAAGCTCACCTAATATAGCAAATAGACCAGGCGTCTGATAATTAAAGCTCTTACTGACCTATTATTTTATTCCACCCATTCTGTGAACTACTTTAGTTCTCAAAGTTATTAACCTGGGAAAGAGCATCATATTAGAAGCTGTGTTAGTAACTAGCTATGTGTCTTTCATAGAGTTAGTAAATTTCTGTCTGTTTCATCATTTACAAAATGAGAATTGAAGTAAATGACTTTTAAAGGACCATTTTGGTGTTAAAGTTGTCTTTGAATGGACAATAGAATAGATAGTAGTAGATAAAAAATGGCAGAAGCTTTTTTAAAACTTCATACAATTTATATTTTAAAGGAAAAGAGCCCTTTTGATGATAAATCTATCTCTGTGGAAGTACTTTTAGGATTGTTATTAATTACCACCTCTGAAGTAATACAACTTTCTTAGAATTACAAATTGTAGACTAAAAGTACTTTAAAATGTGGCCTCAGTAAAGTGATTTAACTTTGTAGTAATTTCTTAATCCTATCCATTTTGTCAGATATGCTTGTTATAACATAGCTGCTATACCTGGGAATTTATTTTCATTAAACTCAACATTATTATACATTTCTGGTGATGGTGCTCTGATAAGCAAAGGTTTAAACAAAACAAGCTTTACAGTCCTGAAGTTATCAAGTGATTTGGGCTTTTACTTATAAGTTCTTGGGAGACAGAAATACATCGTATTTGAGAGCTGACTTCTGGATTTGAATCCCATCTTTGTGGCTTTTTCTGTCTCCCTTTTCTCAGCTATAAGATTGGAACATCACTGAACTGTCATGTCATTATTGTGAAATTAGATAATACATGGAGAATGCTTAGCATAATACCTCTGTTTCATAAAAGTTTGCTGTAGTTTTTTGATGCTGTCTAAATAATATTGTTTTATAATTGTATAGGTTTACATACTGTTCTTTCCAAGTACTGATTATAATATGAATGCATTAATTCAGAATTGGAGAAAATACAAGTTCCTTCTCAACTCATTCTTTTTAAGTAAAATTGGTTTGACCCTTATAAAAAGAATTCACTGTGAGGCTTCTTACAGAACCCTTTATTGTTGCTTAAATATTTTCAAAACAATATTTTTAGATTGAAAATGTGGACCCATCTTGATCTTCTGAAAAGAATTCACATATAAATTCACATACAGATTGGTTAATTTGATTGTTTTTTTTTTTTTCCCTGTTCATGTAAAAGTTATAAAGGGAAATGATTTGGAGACTAGCATTTATTTTGAAATGTATTATTTAAGGTGCCCTCGTATTAGATTCAGAATTGCAGAAAAGAATTATTGCCCCAATTCAGTCGGATTTGACTGAGTTGAAGGGTTGTCAGAATCACTGCATGAAAGACAACACATTTCTTATCAGCATTTACAATTTGTCTAACTTCAGATTGTCCCTCCAGTGAGCTGCCAATAAGATCTTTTTAATTTATTTTTATATTACATGAAAACTTTTTGAGACATTTTTGTGGTTTTCGTGTCTCAAAATTTATCTTGAGAATAATGATACTCACAATTCTGTTGATCATTTCACTCGCAATGCTTACCTAACATGTCCGTTAACAGTAACTTTCAGTTGTGCCTTTCCTGTCTCTTCACATCCTACATGTGGTTTGGAGTCTCTAGCTGTTATCGAGTGTCCAGAAAAATACCAAATTCAGTCAAATTTACTTCCTGCATCCCTCAAATATGCTCATGTCCTTTTGCCCTCATTTTCTTTACCCTTATTTCAAGCCAGAGTTACTCAAAACCCCACAGCCAGCATTTGTACTTGTAGTTTTGGACCCCACAAAACCCATCCTTACATTGCAGTCTATTCATAACCTTTATGTGCTTAAAAAAGCCTCTTGGTGGTTCCCTCTTACTCCAAGAGGAGAACGGAGAATTATTTAACATGGCTTTACAATCCCTTCATGATTTGCCATAGGTTATCTTTCAGTCTTCATTTTTCACTCCCCCCTCACCCCAAACCTAAAGTACAGACACATAGACACACATACCACTCTAGACCCATAGGTTGATTCTGTATTTATTTCATTTCTTGAAACTTCAGTCTTCTCACTTCTGGGCCTTTTGAGTTTATTCAATAAATGTTCATTGTGTGCATTTACTGTGTCAGCTGTTGAAGATACGGAGAGAGTAAATCTGACTAGCAAAGTGTCTGCCGTCTTGAAGCTTACCTTCTGGTTGGGGGGATGGGGCAGCTTGGATTACTTGACAATAAGCAAAAAGAAATATAAACTATACTAGGTTGTGCTAAAATGTGAAGGAAAAAAAGCAGGAAATCAAGAGCCATGGATTAAGGAGATATTATTTTATATGAGATGATTAGAGAATGCCTCTTAGAAGGTGACATTTGGGAAAACAGAAAACCTAATTGAAATGTGATGTAATCATTTGGGTATCCAAGGGGTTTCCAAGCAAAGAGAACAAAAGGGTGATAGCCCAGAGATATTTTTGAGGTGTGTCAAAGGGGGTCCATTGAGGAGCATAGGGAGCAGGTGGGAGAGTGGTGGGAGGTGAAGTCGGGGGAAATGGGGGAGATGGCAGGGTACAGAGGCTTGTAGGCCATGATAAGGATATTAGATTTTAGACTGACATGAGAAGCTCTTGGAGGAGTTTGAGGAGAGGAATAACACGGTCTAATTTGTATTTTATTTTTTTTATTTTTATTTTTTTCTAATTTGTATTTTAAAGATCGTTCTCAATAGAGAACACACTTTGAGGGTGATGGAGAAAGCGGAGATGCCAGGGCACAAGCACTGTATTTTATGAATGAGGTGGAAGTGCCGTGGGCTAGTGTTGAAGGGGCTGAGTGGTAGTAGATACGGGATTTATTTCCAAGGTAAAGCTAGCAGGAATTTTGATGGATTGGGTGTTGTGTGTATGTGAAGACTTCAGGGTTTTTACCCTGAGTAATTGGACTTGTTCTCTGTTTATACCATTAGGGGAGCAGGTTTGAGAGGGAAGTCAAGAAATTGGGTTTGGAAGTGTAAACGTTGAGACACCAAATGTTAAATGGGCATTTGGTTATAACAATCAGATTCGGTGAGAAGATGGGCCTAGAATATGTGAAGTTTGAAGTTGTCATCATATCAAAAGCTTTTAGAGCCAGGAGGCTGGATGCTATTATCTAAGAATTGGATAAAGGTGAAGAATAGTCTGGGGACTCAGCTCCAGGTACTTCACCAAAGAGAGATCAGGAAGAAGAGGAGGATCCGGCAAAGGAGACCAAAGAGAGGAGCCACTGAAGTTGTCGGAAAACCAGGAACGTGGAGTCCTGGAAGCCAAGTGAAGGAGTTTGTTGCTGACGATTGTTCAGTTGAGATAAGAATTGGGAGTTAATCATTGGATTTGGCAAGTAGTGGTCATTGGTGATCTCACCAATTGATTTGTTTTTTAATTTTTTTTTAGATGATGGGTTTAAAAGCCTAATTGGCTCGGGTTCAAGAAAGTATGGGACAAGAGGAAGAGGAGCTGGAATTTCTTCCCCTAAGATTTTATTATTTATGTAAATGATTCTTTCAGTACTGT